CCAGCAAATTCAAGAGCTCAGCTTCGTCGGATGCGCTTCCCAAGGCATCGTCCAGCCAGGCTTCAATGCCATGGCCGTACTTCTCCCCATATATTTCCTGAGCCGTGGCTTGACAAAACGCCACCGCGCCCATGAGCACCCGATTGGACTCGACCATCTCGTCAACACCCATAATGGTGTACGCTTCCCGAGAGTCGGGATGCAATGGAAGTTGCCAAAAGCCTTTGAACCAGTCGACGGCAAAGAAACAGCTCTTCCCGACGAGCCTTGCCATGACCACTTCTAACACAGGCATAGGCCAATGCATCGGCTCCGTCATGGAGTTTGGGCCCCGCGTGTCCACAGTCATGCGGAATTTCCCGTCCTTCTTGGGAACAATACCAAGGTGAGAGGACCACCGCGATCAAAGGGTACGGCGAGCCAATCCAGCTTCTACAATTTCTGCCAGGTGGCTGCGCAAGTAGTCCGTTTGCAAAGGAGAATAGCGCCGTGCCTTGCACGTGGTCGGGACGGCATCTGGCTTGAACCGAACCTGCAGGGGGTCGACGGCTACGGGAGGATCGTCCTGGAACTGCACCCGGAAGACTTCTTCGAATTCCCGGAGCAGGTCATGCAACCGAATAGCGCCGGATTCAGACAATCCCTTGCATTGCGCTTCTTGAACCTTCTGCTCCAGGATGCGGCGCACTGCGAGCTTGGGGTTGCCATTGATGGCCGGGACGTCGTCCTCGAAATCATCGAGGTCTCCTGATTCAGCCAACATCTGTGCGTAACGTGCCTTCAAAGCGCGCGCCGCAGATGAGGCACCCTCGAAGTCTAGCACCGAGAGGTCACCCAAATCGTAGGCGTCCTGCGTTGCGGAAGCTGTCTTGAGGAGGTCTTCAGTCGAATACCCTAGTGCCTCCATAACAGGACGGCCAACAGTAATGTTCAATCCCGAGTCGGAAGTGTCCACCCAAGCGCTCACGTTCTTCAAAACCAACGGCGCCTCCCCCGTCAAGAGAACCAGCTCGGGCAGGAGCACATGCTTGGACAGGGACAACAGTCCGCCGCCAAAACCCTCCATGACCTGGGGCGTGGGCAACTCCTTCGCCTGAAGATCTACGTTCGAATGCAGGGCGATGAGGTCGATAAGACCATTGGAGAGAAGCATCCCGGGATCACTTCCCGAGTCGATCAACGTTGAGATGGGCTTCTCCAGCGCGACTCCAGGGATCTCGGACCAGCAACATCCGTCAGCTGGCTGCTCACTCATCCAACGGAGAGACTTCACGACCTTTGATTTGGTCGGCTTCCTCTCCTTCTTCTCGGCCCATTCACCCTTCCGCTTGTCCCGGATCGCTTTCTTCTCAGCATCAGAGACTTCAACACAGGCTTCAATCCTGTGATTTCCGCGACATGCCCAACAACTTGGCGCCTTCTTGATGTCCTGGCGGCCAGGCGTTCCCGAGGAAACGGTGTTCATCAAGGCCTTAACATTCCTTGGTGCAACAGAGCCGGCCCGGGACGATTCGTCTCCCGAAGTCTTTACGATCCCTGACACCTTGGCGGCCCGCGTGAACTCGAGTTGCGCAACCAGCTTGACCTTAACAAACGCCATGAACTGGAGCACTGAATGTCAAAGGTGCTTCTGGTCCAAATCAAGGTGGCTCTTAATGACTGCCTTGAGCGCGGGTGGGCGAAGCCCTTCCACCAGCGCCTTCACAGCCGCCTTGGGATGCTTGGTATGGAATGACATCATGTTGTTCCTTTCCAACAGAGACCAGTATGAATATACCCACTTGTCGTAGCACCGATCGGCGTCCAGCTCTTTGTCATCCATAACGACAGACGACTTGATCTTCGTCTCGAGATCGCCGTAATCGGGACCATGGTAATCGAGGGCGTACTGGAAGTATGCCATCCACTCAGCATTCGTGACCGATGACGCCTCCTTCCCTAGGTGCATCATGGCAGCAAACTGCTTCGCCTTCGCGTCAATGCAGGTGCCAATAGGTCGAATGCCGAACTTCGTGCCCAGGGCCAACGCCGCTTGAGCACATTCATTGCAGTACCATGGTATTGCTTGGCAAACGTCTTGCGGTGGTCCACCGAATGTCCCGTGTAACGAGGGGCTTTCGGTGCAGCGAATCCACTGAGCAGAGGGACCATTTGCTGGCGACCCGAGAAGGCACTCCTCCCCGAATCCACTCCCGTAGTCGATTGAGGCCAACTTCCAGGTGGTGCAACCCCAGGAACATTGACATCTCCAACACGATTTGCATCGCTCCGGCCACGACTCATCTCAACCTTAAGAGACTGAGTCCACGCCATGCGCTCGCGTTCCATCGCAGCTTCACCCTCCCGGTCACGGCGCAATAATTCGGCAACTTGAGATTCCAACTGCCGAGATACTTCGAGGGCCTTTCGGGCCTCATCAGTAGCGATTTGTTGCTGTGTGTGGTAATGCTGCAACTGTGCCTCAGCCTGTGCCACCCGCATCGCTTGCTCTTCTCCGGCTTGTCTAGCCGCCTTGAGCTCTTCTTGCAGCGCAAGTCCAGCGCTTTGCATTGACTCGTTCTTGACAGACACCCGGGCGAACTCCGCAGCCTGGCCAATAATCTGTTCGTCCCGTCGTGCTCGTTCCAACACAGCTAGAGCAGGATCATCTACAATCTGCTTATAATGATGATGCACTTTTTGGGAGTGGACCATCACTGGAAATGGACCAAGCGACGGTCGAGTTTCATGAAATGGGGCTGGAACCGGCACTCGGCTCAACAACCTCAACGGAGGATCTTCGGCTACCACGAGCCTGTCCTCCACGCCACTCATAGAGGACGTAGTCTCGTCTTCATAGACGAGGTCTTCAATCACCTGGCGTCTTGCTTGGAGATCGATCCCGGGCTGTGCTTCGCCATCCCGGTAGTACCCTCCGTCTGGGAGCGTACGGTCAGAGAGCTGATCGTTGGAGCCTTCCATCGACCAGGAGTACTTCAGCCGCGATAAACGACTAATAAATTTATTGATGTGTTCCGGCTCGCGCAGCGTCCGGCAACCACTGCTGAAGTCCGCGACCTTGGGCAAGGGACAACCTTGCTTGGGGGCGCGACTCAAATGAGAAACTGATGTATTAGACAGATTCTAGCGGCCTGGTAGGTCGCGACAGAGGGACGTGGAACAACAGAGCAAATGGAGGAGTTGCAATGAACGATAGAGCAACTGGAATCCGGGATGGGTTCTGAACCCGGCGACACAACTGCCTTGATCCAGCACAGGCTGGGGGCTGGACAACACGTAGAGGATGCAGACACACACAACACCGAGCACTGATGGCTATTGCTACCCAACAATTGAGGTGGGCAAACACAAATCCCTCGGCACTCTCCTCACGCGTTGTTGGGCGATCGTTTCAGTCTCAAAGTGGCCCAGATTCAAAACGATGGACAGCCACACAACAGGAGCAATGTATTCCAGTGGACAGGACACACTGTTGACGTCTGAGGGAATCAAACGCATGACGACATGATGGCGAGTTTCAAACTGTCGAGGGAGAATGCGTGGTGTGTATAGTCGGAGTTCTTTTTTGCTTGGGCAGTCCAGAACGAGCCGCGACGGGATGGCCACCAAAACACGTGGCTCGTCCCAAATTCGACGCCAAATGGAGGAGCTCCATGTTGAGTCATATCGGCGTGAAATATTTTGATCCACACGTGGAGCCTTAAGGCCACGTCATAATCTGCCCATTCTATATGTTACATGAGCCTTGCACATGTGACAGCTAGTGGAAGCCACATTGCCCTAGCGCTGCCTATTGCGAATCTCTACATTAGGGAAATTTCGCAAATCCTCCGTTCCCGCTGCCGTTCCCGTAAAATCGACTTACGGGAACGGACTCCAATTGTGAATTTGACTGTTTCGCAACTTCCCGTTCCCGTAAATAGCATATGTTGTCGAGTTTGTCTTTTGCCACGACATGCGCAATGAAGAAGCATTGGCATATGTAGTGTACAATTGGGCTCGTCGCAAGAAGCTGTGGTTCTCCACCGTTCTTCTTTTGCTCCAACATGTAGTTGGGATATCTGTTGAGAGACCACTCATACCCCAGGTCAGCTTTGATCTCAACATGCGAGATGCAGACGCCCTGCTTTCTTATCGGTTCTATGTTCAAGGCATCCTCCAGCTTACTTCGCTTTTGTGTGTGCCAAACGTCATCATTACAGAGCATCGGGGCCGTGTTGTTGGTGTTGAAGCTGTGTGCATTCTGCTTCGCCGACTGCGCTACCCTGTCATCTACTACGACATGATTTCAAAGTTTGGTCGCTCGAGGGAACAACTCTGCAGAATTTTCAACTTCATGGTTCGTTTCATTTATACAACGTGGCAATCAACAATCTACTGCAACAATAAAGTCGTTCGCGCCCGAATCAGCCTGTATGCTGCTGTAATTTACAATAAAGGAGCCTCTTTGTACAAAGTTTGGGCATTTCCCGATGGAACAAACATCGAAACATGCCGCATCAATGCTTCTGCAAATGGAGCCGAAGGACTCAACCTTCAAAAGCGAATATACTCGGGGATAAACGTCGACATTGCCTGAATTTTCAAGGCCTTACCTCTCCCGATGGCCTGTGCATGCACTTCTTTGACCCTTTGGAGGGCATTTGTCACGACGCCACGTTGCTGCGGGTGAGTAAGCTGGAGCAATACTTTGAATCCCATGTGGATATTTTCGATGGGTACTACATTTATGGTGATCCAGCCTATCCGATTTCGAAGTGGATTGTTTCAGGTTTCAAGGGAAACAATTTGTACGAACTCAAGCAAAAATTCAACTCATCCATAAGCCGAGAACGTCAATGGGTGGAGAAGAACTTTGGTCGCATGAAATCTTTGTGGGGATTTATTTCCTACAAAATGCAGAACAAGATTATGCTATCCAACGTTGGCACAGTCGTACTGGTGGCAATGTTCTTGACAAATTGCAATTCGTGCTACAATGGTGGAAATCAAATCTCAACCTACTTTGATTTGCGACCGCCAACTCTTGAAGAATATTTGTCACAAGACGAAATCTATGTAATATAGATTTCCATTATCCTTGTCATCTTCTACTTCTTTCCTTCGAGAAAAGCTTTCAACATGCTAAATAACTTTTCGCTTTCAATCTTCGCTAGAGCCAACTGATGATCACGTTCTGCTTTGCGTTCCTCGCGGTCATGTTGTCGCTCTAAGCGATCGAACTCTCGTTGCCAAATTTCTGTCTCGAACTTCAGTCGTCTGAACTCCAAGTCCTTGCACCTTCTTCAGAAAGCACTTGACGTTGCTTGAGTGTTTGCATCGCCATTTCACGAACAACAAGCCCGCCTTGCTCCCCCTTGTCCTTCTCTTGACTTGTTTTCGTTGACCTCGACGGAGCGAGGAGTCTTACGTCCTCCAGCTGAGCAAGAAGGTCGTCCAAGATCATGTGCTTATCGGACTCTTCCTCGTCGACTCCAGAGAGCGTTGCCGAGGCCACGTCAAAACGTCGGTGCTCGTCGATAAGGAGTCCAAATCGGTGCTGTACTTTTTTCCCCATCCACAACGCGCGTGAACGCATCACTTGTCATGAAGGTCTCGGCTAGTGCCTGCCATGCTTTTGACACTTGCCCGTTGTCCGCCGCAAGCGGCTGATCAGCTGCAGCTTGTACCAAAAGCATCATGTCCTCGTCGTGGGACCAATTTCGGCGCTTTTCATGTTCAGGCATACTTCCTTTTCGATTGTACGGGGACGGAAAGGTCGTCCGTAGAACTTGCCATATCTGCGGGAACTTCAATCAAATTGCAGAGGTCATGCCGTACAAGGATAATTTTACACAGTGTACAGGGACGGCAACGGGAATGGAGAGTTTGAGAAATCTCCCTATTGCCCTAGAGCTGCCTACAATGGTCGTCAGAATGGTTCGCCACTCGAATATTCTTCGGCTTCAACTTTGTTTTTGTCCAATAATAATCGATGTCCAGAATACAGTGACTTCATTGGCTGATGATATTAATCTCCCGCCCGCGCGCAATAATTTAAACTCCACCTCACATTTCATTTGCATCCCTATCATCCCATAACCTGTGATAAAATTGCTTCAGCTCTGTTGCGATGAATAAAAATACTGTGATATGTCCTGATTCGCCGAATAATATGCCGTAGTTCGAATAACTGGATCCCACCAACCAATCACATGACGCTATTCACAATCACCTCGAAGTAAAAAGTGGCTAACCATTCTGACGGCCACTGTATTGCGAATCTCTGGAATTTTCTCGCAATCTAGCTTGACCTCGGCTAAATCTCGTTTGTATTCACACTCAATTGGTTACGAACCCAACGAACCCAACGAATATCCGCCGCCTTCCCCGCCGCAGACGCCCAACAACACCACATCAAGAACCCCGCAACCCCAAACCACTCACTTAAACGGAGATTATTTCGCACCTTCTCAATGTTGTATGCCGCCTCAGCCAGCGTCCCTCTGACCAGCTCCACCTCACTTCAGCTCTACCTGTTCTCCTTTTGTGAGTATACGGGGCAGTACCTGTTGAGCCATATCGGCGTGAAATATTTGATCCACAAATCATATATCGACTTAAGGCCACGTCATACATAATCTGCCCATTATGCATGTTACATGAGCCTTGCGCAAGTGAAAGCTAGTGGAAGCAACATCGCCCTAGCGCTGCCTAATGCAGAATTTCTAGAAAGCGAACATGCTCGAAGTCTAGCTTTACCCCGGCTTAATCAATCACTTTCCATTAGTGAAAAAAAGTCGGAAGGTATACCGGATATCAAGTCATCGTCGGACTTGGCGTCCGACTTTAAAGTTCATTTTAAAACGTATT